TTTTTACATTCATTCATTCATTTTCTTGTCAGCTAAGTCCCTTTATTAATCCGGGGTCGCCACAGTGGAATGAACCGCCAATTTATCCAGCAAGTTTTTTACACAGCGTTTCTCTGGGAAACATCCACACACACACTCATACACTACGGACAATTTAGCCTACCCAATTCACCTGTACCGCATGTCTTTGGACTGTGGGGGAAACCGGAGCATCCGGAGGAAACCCACGCAAACGCAGGGAGAACATGCAAACTCCACACAGAAACGGCAACTGAGCCAAGGTTTGAACCAGCGACTCAGCAACCTTCTTGCTGTGAGGTGACAGCCCTCGCCCTGTTTTTTTACATGCATTTTTTATTTCTCTTTGCTATATGAGCTTATTAGAAGCTGATTAGAATAAAATCTAAGTATCATCTTTGGATATGATGTACTTTTAGAGAAAAATCATGTCCACATATGTGGACTCGAGGTCCTTATTTTAACTTTTTTCCTGACTGATTTTTAATGCCTATTTAACATATAATTTTTTTTAACATGTTTTCACTATCAGAGAGTAAAAACATTTTTTTTTTTTGTTGCCAATTTTGGACATTTAAAAATAGTGTTTGGGACATTTCATATGCTGCAAAACAGTTGCAGGATGACACTATATGTCTGTAACAAAATATAAACATTCAAAGTATTTTAAATAGCCACTAAAGAGCTAAAATGTGCTGTCCACATGTGTGGACACTCAAGCCCTAGAAGGATAAACTGACATTTAATGGTTAAACTAGGTTAAGCTGCGGCCACACTGGGCTTTTCCTCCCATAGACTCCCATTCATACGCACGTAATTGCGTCAGACCGGAAACGCAAGGTCATGCGTCAAGTTTCGCAGGTTGCTGCGGTGCGAAATTGCATCACTTGACTACGTCAAACCAATCGAGGATCAAAACATGACCTATCTGGACAGAAAAAGCATGGAGCAATCGCTTGCTTTTTAAAATGTCTAATAAGCTTGTTGAATCCCGCCTCTTTTCGCAGCGCCGCACGACAGAATTTCGCACATACAAACTCTAGTGTGACCGCAGCTTCAATTAGAAAAGTCCTTGTATATCAATAGTTTGTTTTGTAGACATTCGAGAGAAAAAAAGAAACAAGCTAACTATTAATACTGATAATTATATTTTGTCCCAGTCAAACAGAAATAAGACTTTCTCCAGAACAAACATAATAATAGAAAACACTGTGGAAAAATATCCTAGCTCTGTTAAACAGCACTTAGGAAATATTTTAAATAAATAAATAAATAAATAAATAAAATTAATTAATTAATTAATTATTTAAGAATAAATAATATAGATAAAGAATAGCATTTTGTCTTCAAGTGTATTGTAATTTTTCAAACTGGCATCAATCAGTAAAATTAAATATCATGTTGTCATAAAAGCATCTGCTTTGACATTAAAGGTCTAAAATTCAATTTTAAGTGGATTTTTAATTCATTCATTCATTTTCTTTTTGGTGTAGTCCTTTATTAATCAGGGGTCGCAACAGCAGAATGAACCATCAACTTTTACAACTTATTTTTTTACGCAGCTGATGCCCCTCCAGCTGCAACCCATCACTGGGAAACACCCATACACATTAAGTCTCACACTCATACACTACGAGCAATTTAGCTTACCCAATTCACCTGTACCGCATGTCTTTGGACTTGTGGGGGAAACCGGAGCACCCGGAGGAAACCCACGCCAACATGGGAAGAACATGCAAACTCCACACAGAAATGCCAACTGACTTAGCCAAGGCTCGAACCAGCGACCTTCTTGCTGTGAAGTGATTGTTCTACCCACTGCGCCACCGTGCCGCCTATTTTCAAATCAATTATTATAATTAAATTATTCTCTGTCCACTCTATTTTCAAATTTGAATCCATTCGCATTTGAAATCCCCTTGCATGCTTTATAGCCTAAATGTTTGCACTGTAAAGCTCCTAAATGTTTCACAGCAGCACAAAATAACAAACGACATGATTGTTCAATAGAAATCTCACCTTCTGTGCCAGCCGCACTCGTCTCAACTGATAAGAACCCTGGAAATGACAAGCACAGGATCACGAACAGCATTTACAGACCTGTACAGACTACTTTTCAGTAGATACACTTTAAATAGAGCACACATAAATTTGTCAGCTTTTCACTTATAAATGGTTTAACAAGACAATCAATCCCTCCAGAACCAGCAACCTTCTTGCTGTGAGGCAACAGTGCTAACCACTGAACCACCATGCCACCCTTATATATTGCACTTTATATATTTGTGGCCTATAATTACTGACTTGCTTTTATCTAAACTAATGGGAATTTTTGTTTTAGTTCCACTTTATATTAAGTGAGCTTAACTGATACACTGTAAAAAAATGCAGGGTTGCACATAATTCCTTCATGCTGCCCCAACACGAATTCAAGTTCATTAATTCACTCATTTTCTTTTGGGCTTAGACCCTTTATTAATCAGGGCTCGCCACAGCGCAATGAACCACCAGCTGTTCTAGCAAATGTTTTACGCAGTGGATGCCCTTCCAGCCGCAAAACATTACTGGGAACACAAATCCAAGCTAAAATAATTAATTCAAGTAGATTAAATATGAAGCAATTAAGATCCAGATTTGTGCTGTTTCAGCTCTGCAAAAAAAAAAAAAAAATGCTTTAACTTAGATGTTTTGTCTTGTTTCTAGTCCAAATATTTGCAAATTCCTAAATCAAGAAGCACTTTATAGACAAGCAAAACATATTGTAATAATTTGCCAAAATGAAGTGAGTTTTTCCTTAAATCAAGCAAAATAATCTGCCAATGGGGTAAGCAAAATAATCTTGTTTTTGGATTAGTGATAAGATTGTTTTGCTTACCCTATTGGCAGATTATTTTGCTTGATTTAAGGAAAAACTCACTTCATTTTGGCTTATTATTTTTTAAAACAAGACAATGGGCTCTATTTTGACGGTCCATGCGCACAGCGCAAAGCGCAGGGCACAAACGCTTTCAGGGCGTGTCAGGACGCGTTTTTGCTAATTTAAGGACGGGAAAATCTGCTTTGCGCCGAGGTACATGGTCTAAAAGGGTTGAGTTTATTTTCTTAATGAGTTATAGGTGTGTTTTGATAATAAACCAATTACAGTCTCATCTCCCATTCCCTTTAAGAGCCAGCTGCGTCACGCCAAAAGCACATTCGCTATTTACAGGACGCAAAGTAAGTCTAAGTGGAAAAACTGAGCATTTACATCTACTGCGTGAGAAAGAGAGATAATGGATCTACTTTCTCATTCGCTCTTGGATAGGAAAACCTTTTCGCACAGACATCAATTAGTCTATAAATAATTAATTGCGTTTGTTAAGCGCAAATATTCGTTTCAAAACTATTTCTAAATTGAGTTCTAATTTCCAACGAATAAATGAACAATAATAATAAAGTGTGGTCAAAAACCTGAGTTATATCCTAAAACACATGCTCCTGCAGGTGGACAAATCTAAGCTTGTTTTTAATAAAACAAATATAAATATGGATATAATAAATAATACTGCTAATAATAATAACATTATACAAAAGCAAATTGTTATGAATGAACTGAAAAAGCCTCCCGAGATGAAGACATAAAAGCAGTGATTTTTTATATTTATGTAAGCTTGAAAATAATATGTTTTGTAATATTTTTTATCCTTTATATTTATATTCTATATCTATTCTTATTATATCCTATATATATCCTTAATATTTACATTTTTTCATATGTAAAGATATTTGCCTATTGCTCTCTTGTGTGTATTAAGCAGTGTGTAAGCGAGGCGCAACTCTGCGCTGGAGTTTAGACCGGGTTTGTTTTGGTCTAATGAAAAATCTATTATAGTTTCTCAAAATAGCAACGCGCCAGCGGTCCGCCTCAGAACGCCTTCCTTTTTAGACCAGAACGCCTATGAGCGCAAAAATGAGCGCTAATGCATTTGCTATTAAACAGCCTAGCGCAACGCCTCAAAACCACTCTTACGCCAAGCTGAAACTAGCAAAAGACTACTGCGCCGCACCCCACATTACGCCGGGTGTATGATAGGGCTCAATATGTTTTGCTTGTCTAGAAAATGCTTTTTGATTTAAGAACTTTTAGATATTTGAACTAGAAACAAGGCAAACAAATCTAAGTAAGAAAAGCATTTTTTTGCAGTGAGCTCATTTTATATTAGTAGTTGGATCAAACTGCAGAAATCAGAAAAAATGTACACTAAAATACTGATATGACAAAAAGACATGTCTATGCTATTTCAACATTCTCATTTTAATCAGTAAATTGGGTTTCTACTGATAAACTACAGCACAATTGTAACTGTTAATTTGCAGTGCACTTGCTGGCAAACAGATTGTATAATAGTGTACATAGTATATAATAGTAATAGTGTACATTTTACAGCATTTTTATGGTGTATTGATGAAAAGTTTAGGTAACATCAACCAAAAAAAAAAAAAAAAAAAACACATTGTGGCATGTTTTCTGTTATGTTCAACTCTGAAAACTAGACTGACACATTTTATAAGAATTTCCATGTGAAGCTGCTTTGACACAATCTACATTGCAAAAGCGCTAGAGAAATAAACATGAGTTAAATTGAATAGAATTTTAGGTTTTGGTTAGTTTTCTCATTTTGAAATACTGTAGAGCACTAAGATTGTGGGTAACACTTTATTTTGAAGGTTCGTTTGAGTATTAGTAGACCGTCTGCTTAATATCTGCTGATTCTGCTCCTTCAACAGACATTTAACTGACTATAGAAAACTTGCAAGTACATGTCAACTCACACTAACCCCAAACTAAAAGTCTACTAATAATCTGATGAGACTTAGTTGGCAGGTAGATGCAATGTAACTTAAATTCAACAAACAGACCATCAGAATGAAGTGTGATCAGAATTTGAATTATTAAAATAAATAAAGGTGGTTTTACTTACCCAGTAAGAGAGGTAGACCCCTGTAAAAAAGCCTCATGTTCATTTCCAGCACTTTCTGACTGCTTTCATCAGGGTATGTTTGAGTGAATGGGTTTCTTAGGAAAAACACATTAGCTTAACTTTACATCCATGTCATGTGTTTGTTTTTCTCCTCCCAACTCACATGTGTTACTCATCTCTCTGACTGCAGCTTTTTACAACAAAACTCTGTATTATTAAAGAAAGAAACAATCAAACAGGTAAACAGCAACACAAGTAAACACATTAGCAATAAACATGATGAAAGCTTGCAGATCAGTTTTATAATTGTGATTTGGAGCACAAAAACAGAAGTCGTATGACTATATTTTAATAGCCCAAAAGGCATTGTATGCGCCAGAATTATACAGTTTTCTATAATATATTTAGTAAAGTATTTAATAAAGATTGTTGCATGTAGATTGTAACGTTGAGTCTGACACAGAGGGATACATTTGCAGTACGTTTATTAAACAGTTTAATAACAATCACACAGTAAGCACTTGTGTGCAAACTCACATCAAACGTAGTAATATTGGGTCGATAGGCTGGCGGCTGACTGTCAAGGATTGTGATAGCAGGCATGGGTCAGAGGCAGGCAGCGTAGATCAAAGGCGATATACCAGGCAGGGTTCGAAGCAGGCGGAGTGGACCAAAGTCGAGGTACAATGCAGGGTTCAGGGCAGGCAAGGCAAGGCAAAGTCTAGGGATGGCTGACATGAAACTGATGTTTCGACACAGTGTCGAGATCCCGAAGCGCAAGTGTTTCGAAACACTGCACCGAAGCATGATCCGAAGCACCCAAGTCACGTGACTAAATTATTTCGAAACACTCTAGTCACGTGACTAAAGCGATTCAAAGCATCGATCAACTTAGAAACGTTTCGAGACCTGGCGAATCCTCATTTGACTGCCAAGGTCACCAAACAATCTCTGTTTCATATGGCCTAGAGCACTGTGGGTTTGCTAGTTGATTCTATGCTTTGCATGATGTTTTGGGTTCGAATCCCGACTTATACAAATACTCTGAAATCATGGTTTTATGTATTTTAATCATGTTTCTGTTTTGTGTAGCCTAAATAGGATACAGCTGCAGTTACGCCATCAATTTAGCATCATTTTTGTAACACTGTAAAACAATAATAAATATTTTTACAGTATGGTTGGGTTTAGGGTTTGGGTAGACATTAATAAAATACAATAAATGGGAAATTTAATGAATAATATAAATAATTCTTGATAACTTCAGGCCACCGTTTTTGATCTAGCAACAACTCTGTTTTTAAGAGAAAAACAAGACATATTTATTCACAAATTGTTCATTCGGATATCAGACCAATGTTGAAACAAAACGATACAAGAGCAAAGCATTACCAATTGGTATTAAAGCAATTCAAAACAACTGCGACAGCCTGACTTCGAAACCTACTAACCCTGCATGGAAGTCTGACATCTAAACCACTGTACTATGTTACTTGAAGAATCAATCATACAAAGTTGGATTTAATGCCTCAATTTGCTCAACTGTTCTTTGCTGAAGCTGTTTCAGTGCAACACATAAAAAAATGACCACTAGATGTCACTGTAGAGTGGGGTTTCAAAACATTTCGAAGCTTCGACACATTTGCTTCGACTGTTTCAGTGTTTCACGAAGCCTCGCTTTGCCCACCACTAGCAAAGTCAAGGGACAGTCCAGGTAATAACAGGGAGATCAGGCAAGGATATGAACGCTCAGTAATGTCAGCAGTACAAGACTTCGCACTGGAGTGAGTGTTTGGGCTGCTTATATGTGTGTGTGTGGGTGATCAGTGAGATGTGCTGCAGGTGTGTTGCAATCAGTGTTTGAGGATGATGTAATGTTAGAAGTCAGATGATGGTGACCACTGCTGGCCAGCGAGGGGAATGACTGGGACTCGGTGACAGATATAGTTGTTTACATACACTGTATAAATAGGCACATGACCATTTTTTTAAAAAGTCAGATGTTAATGTGAATAAACTTTTCCTCTTCTAGGATATTGTTTGAGAAATTGTTATAACTCTTCTTGAAAGTCAAGTTTACATACAGTAAAACTATTCTGCCTCTGGTGTCGAGGTTTTGGAAGTTTCTGATTGGCTAATTGACAACATTTGAGTGAATGTGAGGCACAACTGTAGAATAGTGTTGAAGGAAAAGCTCAAACACACTGCTTCCCTGTGTGACAACATGGAGAATCAACAAGCCAGAATCAACACAAAGCCAGATTACAACTTGCTGAATTACACTGGGAAAAAGACTCATGTTTGGAGACATGTCCTGTGCTCTGATGACTATTTGGCCATAATGAGCAGTGTTACATTTGCAGGACAAAGGGGAAAGTGCACAAGTCTAGGAACATCATCCCAACTGTGAAGTATGGGGGCGGTGGCAGGACTGCCTCTCATGCCCCTCCCTCCCCAGGTCCCTACTATCATCCCACGAAATATCAGAACATCTCTAGTAAGATGCATATCTATGGAAGTGCTTCATTTAGAGGATTTTTTCAGTGTTTCCATTTTTTAAACAGTCAAATTTCATTTTAACTCTGCCAAATAGTGTCCAAACAAACAATCATTTATTTAGTTTTCATTCATTCATTTTCGACGTAGTCCCTTTATTAATCAGAGGTCGCCACAGCAGAATGAACCGCCAACTTATCCAGCACGTTTTAGTTAGCGGATGCCCTTTCAGTCGCAACCTAACACTAAAAAACACCTACACACTCTTGCACACACTCACATTTAGCTTATTCAATTGACCAGACTGTGTGGGGAAACCCGAGCACCCAGAGGAAACCCATGCCAACACGGAGAGAACTATTTAGTTTTCAGATTAAACTTAAATCAAATTTTTTTTTTTGCCAAAATACTTGACAATTGACCAAAAGTTGACACTTTTGACTGGTTTTGTGGTCGCATTTCTGCCTTTGTCTGAGATTTTTACCCAAAGGTATAAATATCTTGTTGGGTTTCCTGAAACTCTTAAATTACATTACATTACATGAGATAAAAAAATACACAAAACTGGATTTACTGGATCTTCTCGAACGTCACTCTGGTTTGTATTTAATGGCATCACATTCTAACTTGGTGTCTGATCTCATTTCTAACCTGTATGACTATCATTCTTTTGTTTTCAGTGAAACGCCAAAGGGAATTTCTGTGAAATGCAAGACCGAGGGTGCCAAGCTCCAAAAGAAAGACCAATTTGTCTTTTTGCGTCCTGTCTCATGAATGTTGCACCTACAATTTTAAGTCTCTTTTCTATCCCGTCCAATAGAAGATCATGAGCTTTCATTTGTTGTTTTCTGCATGAGAGATCCAGAAAAGATTCTCAGACATTACATGACAAGATCTGTTTCTAGACACAAGTACAAAAACAATTCAGTTCAGTTCATCTTTATTTCTCTAGCACTTTGACAATGTATGTGTCAAAGCAGCTTCACATAGTTCCAGTAAAGGGCTAGAGAAAGCCGCTGAAGCCGCTGAAGCCGCTGTCGCCACTGGCTTGCATGGTTCAGGATCTGAAAAGCTACTCATTGATGAATTTGCTCATTAGTGTTTGGACTCTCAGTAATGACTTCAAACCACACTGAACTGAGCTAAACTGAACTGAACTTAAACACTAAAAACTGAACTACCCTGATCCAGTTACTATAACCATTTATGTGAAGCTGCTTTGACACAATCTACATTGTAAAAGCGCTATACAAATAAAGCTGAACTGAATTGAATTGAATTGAATTAAAGTCCAGTGTAAAAAAGCCATTGTTCAGTTTATGCACATTTAAAATAGGTGTTGTATGAAGATTATTTTATCTCTCATTTATAAGAAAAGGTGTGGCATATTTAGTGAGTCGCGCCACCGCGAATCAGTTCAGTTAGGAATCAACCAAATCAAGCAAGCGTTCGTGAATCAGTTCAGTTCAGTTCAAGTCAACCGAATGATAAAAACGAAAGTGAATCAGTTCAGGAATGGCGATGTGAAAGCGGAGGTCCTACAATCTCATCTTTAACGGCGTAAAACAGTAAACTATCCACTCGTTCTGTAGCACCTTCACTTTGTGAACTGCAGAAGGGTGTATGATAATTTGGATTGACAGCGGATGGTTTTTAATAACGCTTATAGACGGTGCCGAAGTCTCGCTCGTGACGATCCTTGCAAGTGCGTCAATGAGAAACGTGAGTTTCACTCGACAGTACATTATATTATATTAATATGATTGTCAGTTACTTGTGTTTAATTGATGTACCACTGCTGCATTGTTGATGTAATGTTTGAGTGTTTAATTGCCCACATTACTATTATCTACATGCATATTGTATGGCTATGACTCAGCACATTTGTAGTGCTGCTGGTGTCCATCATACGATGATTCCAATTACTACTGATCACATTAATTTGTTCATTATAGAACCACACATGTGCAAGAGTCGTATGAAGCAGTATCATAATTATTCAGCAACATCCAGTACCGGCTGAAATTCCTGCCCTTCTCAATCGTGGGAGGATTCATTGTGCACCAACGGCCCTGAGACTGTAGCTAAAAGACCAGCTTCATTCAACCTCCTGGTATCTGAACGTGTAGAAAGGACTTTTTATAATAGTTTTCTTTCTTATTGATTTGTAAGCAATCAGCATTATTCTTTACATACTATTGTGAACCTTTTATTTCATTATTATTTGCGCAGGCCTACACTCTTTTGATGTATGTTTTTGTTTCATTTAAATAATATTGTTATTTGAGAATTAATATATCCTATTTGAGTAAACACCTACAATTTAGTACGTCTGTGTTTTTTTCTTTCATGGTTATTGGACATTAATAGTGTTAATATACATACTGAGACGATTGGCACCGTAACAGTTACCAGTGCAACCCAGTTCTTCATAACATCCAGATTTCAGAGTTGAAGTTCAGCTTAGTTCAGTTCAGTGTGGTTTAACCTTCACTGCTGATAGTCCAAACACTGAAGAGCAAATCCATCAATGCGCAGCTCTACAACTCCTGATCAGAGCAAGCCGGGGGCGACAATGGAGGAACAAACTTCACTAATTGACCAAAGTAAAGGGAAAGAAACCTCGAGAGAAACCAAATTTCTCCTCTGGCCAAACGTCTTGTGCAGAGCTGGAGTCTAGGTGCTGGAGAACGCTGGACGTCCATCGTGGAGAAGCTGCGGGTGTGAGGAGGTCATCGGCAGGGGTTCAGGCTGGCCCTTCAGGATCAATGCAGGGACTCGCTTGTCACTGGGGTCTATCAGGAATCAGTCTCATAAACTCCCTTCCTCCATGACACCACAGCATCAGCTCGGGATACGGCCTGGTCCAGGATTATGGATACCTTGGCATCATTTCTTCACAGGTCTTGGATCGCATCGATTGCGCTGCATACTTCAAAACGCATGAGCTCCATCCCAGATGGCACACTTGCACCAGGGGTGGCCAACCATGTTCCTGGAGAGTCACCTTCGTGCAGATTTCAGTTGCTACCCATATCAAACACACCTGAACCAATTAATTAGGACCTGAACACCACATGATAATTACAGGCAGGTGTGTTTGATATGGGTTGGAACAAAAATATGCAGGAAGGTGGCTCTCTAGGAACAGGGTTGGCCACCCCTGCTATACACTATGCTCTTATCCACTATGCACTTACACACTCAACAGCATAGTATATAAATGTAGTGTCGTCCCAAATGAAACCCTAATGTTTGCTAAAATGTAAGGTATGGGCGTCACGGTGGCACAGTGGGTAGCACGATCGCCTCACAGCAAAAAGGTCACTGGTTCGAGTTCCTGCTGGGTCAGTTGGCATTTCTGTGTGGAGTTTGCATGTTCTCCCTATGTAGGGGTGGGTTTCCTCCGGGTGCTCCGGTTTCCCCCACAGTCCAAACACATGGGCTATAGGGGAACTGATGAAGTGTATGGGTGTTTCCCAGAGATAGGTTGCAGCTGGAAGGCGATCCACTGTGCAAAACATATGCTGGAAAAGTTGTCAGTTCATTCTGTTGTGGTGACCCCTGATTAATAAAGGGACCAAGCTGAAAAGAAAATGAATGAATAAAATATAAAGTTGCAAAGCCTTATTGGCTCAGGAACAAAGATGATTTTTTATCTGTTGGAAGAGCATTTAATGCTTCTAAACCTTGTTCCAGACAAGGTTATAATAGTTTTGGATTTTTCATTAGTTTTAGTTTCTATTTCATTTTGACTTTTTGTTTTTAAATTCAGATAGTTTGTATTAGTTTTAGAGGCAGATTTACTAGTTTGTATTAGTTTCCAGTTTTTTGTAGTTTTCGTTTTTTTGTTAACTATAATAACCTTGGTTCCAGAGGCCAACAATAAAAAATGGGGTAGAATAGTGTATAAGTATGCGATATGGGGTGTACCTATGAACACAACTCTATCAACTCAATCAGCATCTGGTTCATACTCGACGTATCCGCTAGTTCAGCGGTTGCCAACAGGAGGGTCGCGGCCCACAAAGGGACCTCAGTGAGTTTTGTGGGGGGGGGGGGGGGGGGTCGCGTCATATTAACTTATATTAAAAAAAAAAAAAAAAACGTAGCAGTTTTAATGTTAATAAGCGATTATATCATTTTATGTGGAAAAAGGTTGTGAACCACGGCGCTAGTTCACTTGAGTGCGCACGGCGAATGTGACGTCATTGCAGAGTTTGCGGAGGTTCGCTTTGGGTGTGCATGACATGATTTCGGCTGGCAGAGCGCACAAAATATTTTGTGACTCGAGCAAACAGTTCACACAGTGTCGTGTTTGATTTGAGTTAGGTATATTCCCTTTGAAGAGATTTTGTCTGAAACAGCACGACTGTACACACATCTTTATGATCTGTCCATCTGTGATCAAATCGATAATCAGATGACCAATAATTCTTGGTTAGAAATTGCAACAGCAGTGGGAAAGGAGGAAAGTTTTTGTTTAGAAAAACTTGAGGGATATGCCTGTTAAAACAAAAACAAAAACAAAAAAAGAGGCCATGACAAAAGTGGAGACCCATACACCCAAAATACATCGTGATAATCTAGGAAAAGTCTGTCAAATAAGTTTTTCTGTAAACTTTTTAATGAAAGTATCTGTAGATTTATAATTTTTTTGCACTTTATTTCAACAAAAAAAATTTTTCCATAATTTTATGGTTTTTATTTGGCAGCCATACACTGAAAAAAGTGTTGCATGCAGAACTGTTGCAAACAATTTGTTTGTGTTGAATTTAAACATACAAATTAAGTTTAGTAATGTTCAACTTAATTTGTTTGTTTAAATTCAGCCCAAATAAATTGTTTACAACCTCTTAACGTAAAGAAATTGAGTAAATCCAAGGAAACATCTTTGAATAATTTTTTTCAGTGTAGCTGCCAGTCATTTGACCTATTTATATGATTTTTTTATTATTATTATTTTTTACAGAGCAAGTAATTGCAATTTATTACTTTATACTTACGTAATTTTAAATGTACAAAAAAAAAAACAAGAAAAAACACTGTAAATAATATGGCAATTTTATTTTATAAAACAGGAAAATTGCTGTAAATTGTCATTAATTATATAGTACATAAAATAACAGTCAGACTGTGAACTTACAGATATAGTTTGTAATTTTTAAGGACTTTTAAATATAATTTAAAATAACAGAAAAAATACTGCATAAATGATACTGTAGTTTTCCTGTATAAAAACAAAAATGTCAGTAATTTGTCTTTAATGAGAAAGTACCTAAAATGAAAGTCAAACTGCTCACATGGCAAAATTTCTCTGGGCCAACTCTGGCCCACACAATCATGTTTTGCTTGGACCAAATCTGGCTTCCAGACAAGGGCCAAACACGGACCATATCTGGGCCAAGTTAATAACTCATAACTGGGCCTGAACTGGGCTAAATAGGTTGGTGTGTCACGATTGCAATGAAATTGATAAACCCAAGAAGCGTTAAGCTTTTGGCACACTATGGACACGCTTTTCTCAAAGTGACCTGATTGATAGAATTTTTTTTCTTCGCTCAAAAATTATTTTAATGTGTTTTAAATGTGGGTCAAGACTGGCCAAACTTACATGGCCCACATATCAATTTTTAAAATCTGGGCCAAATACTATGTTTCACATCTGGCCCAAATCTTGTGTGCTAATTTAAAGACTGTGCCACCTCTGCCAAACACAGGCCATGTTTGGCCCACATGCTGTGTGCCAATGTCGGATGAATGCCTGCTGTGCCAGCTTTATGCCAAATCTGGGCCAGAATTCTTTGCTACAAGGGTGTTAATTTAGAGAGATTGTTTGTCATTTTTCTAAGTTTTGAATATAATTTGAAATTACAAAAAATTACTGTAAAAAATCTAGATATTTTCTGTAAAATTAGTTTTTATTTTTATTTTTTTTACAGTGTACACAATCATGAGGGGGTCTTTCCACACAAACACCAGTGTGCAGCTCCACTTGGATGATGCTCTGGCAGCCACAGGACAACAGCGCCAGTGCTTCACCACACACCAGCTATAGGTGAAGTAGAGAGACGGTGATGGGGGTGATTGGGACAGGTAAGGGCCGATATGGGGAATTTGGACAGTACACTGAGGTTACACCCCTACTCTTAACCATGGGGTTGTTATTGACCACAGAGAGTCAGAACCTCTTTGTAACGTCTCATCCGAAAGACGGAGCTTACTGACAGGATAGAGTCCCGTTCACTATACTGGGGCATTAGGACTCACACAGACCACAGGTTGAGCGCCCCCTGCTGGCCTCACTAACACCACTCCCAGCAGCAACCTAGCTTTCTCATGTGGTCTCCCATCCAGGTACTGACCAGGCTCAGCCCTGCCTAGCTTCAGTGAGTCACTGCTCTTGGGCTGCAGGGTAAAATGACTGTGAATATTAATCAGTTAATCTGGTTTCGACTAAGTTTTTTTTAGTTATAGATGATTAAATTTTTACATCAACCCGGGCTCACTGTGGACACGTAGTCCCGCGGACGTTTCTGGAGACCGCGGAATACGTCTCGGCGGGTACGTACGGCTGCAGTTTTTGTTTACGCGAATCCGCGAGAGGCCGCTGTTGTGTGCTTTTTCGCACCTCAGACGTCTCTCTCGAGCGCAGTTCGCGCCTGCGCTGTTCTTGCGTGAACCCACCGGAGGCTGCTGTCCGACCGACCGGATGATTGACTGCGCGACCGGCCAATCAGCCGACCGCCCTTCTCCTTCCCCGAACCCAACCCATTTTACCGCCCGCTCGCTTCCCTAAACCCGAGCAACAGTTTACAAAAGCCGTCCAAAAAAATAAAAGCCCCGATTTTTTTTTTCTCTACCGCGTTTTCGGATTTCGCCGCGTTCTTACCCTGTCACGAAACTCGTTCACTTAATTTTTGGGATTCTGTTTTCATCTTACCTGATTGCTGGAACCGCTCTTCCCCGGACTCGAAACCGGTCGCCGTGGTCGACTCCTCTCCGCATCTCGAGCCTGCCGACGTTACACTGTGAGCTGAGTGGACAAACGGGCTGCAGCGGTGAAGCCCTCCACAAGGAGGGAAGGCAAGCGTGAAAGGGAACGGCGTCACACAGCTCCGCAGCGTTCGCTTAAAAAAAATAAACGCGGTCGTACGTACACCCCGGGACGTATTCCGTTGTCTCCAGAAATGTCTGCGGGACTACGTTTTCAGAATGAGCTTGGGTTGTTTTAAATTGATATGAGAGTCGAGATGACTTTAACTTGCTTGGATTCAGCTAAACAAACATTTTAGGCAGCAAGAATTTTTACAGAGCAGTTCCTGC